CATGAAAGCCAAAACCAAAACATTGCAACTGATACAGGATACAAAAATCTATAGAACAGATCATGTAAAACAGAACCAATCAGAATAGGAGAGAACACCTTACACAACTAAATACAGTTTAGTGCAGGGGCCACCTGTTTTTGTAAATAAAGTTTTATTGCAAGACCACCATGCCTCCTCATTTACCTATTGTCTATGGCTTCTTTGCTACAACAACTGATTTGAATAGTTTTAACAGAAACCAGGTAGACTATAAGCCAAAAATATTTACTATTTGATCCTTCAGAGAAGTTTGCCAACATTTGCCTTAGAGCATCACTGTATTTTAGCACAATATAGTAATGCTCTCTTACAGTAAACATAAGTTGAACAAGAAATGTTGAACTCTATTCATTATAATGTTTCAATATGGCCAAAAAAAAAGTAACATTTTCTAAGGAGACTTATACCAAAAATAGTTTAGAAATTAGAAAGTCTGATGTCTAAGGATTAAAAGTGAATACAACTAGATAATGCTGATGAATAGGAGCGGTATAAATCCATTCATAATCTTTTTCATAACTTTTTTGAATGTGATGGTGCTTATTATACATATCAGAAACAGGATATTAAGATAGCAGACTAGGACGGCAAAGCAGAGATATACAAGTTTAAAATTTAACAGATGTGTTTCCTCTTTATAGAAGTTAAATATACTCATAATGGGAAATCTTAAAAGTAACTATAAGGAGACAGGAAAAACAACATCCATTCTCATAAACCACAACTGCTAACATCATTTTGGCTTATTTCCATCACCTTTCCTAAGCATTTTTTAAAAGGTTAAGATCACTTGAGATCAAACTGCATGGAAAAATTTATATTCTAACTTTTGACGTAACATTGTATTATCTTATAACCCTAAAAAGTATCCCACAAATAATTTCAACAAATTTCTCTTCAAGGTAACTTTTATGTTTTTCAGACTAAAACAGTGCCGTCCATCACTACCCTCAACCGCCACCTACTTTTCCCTATATACAGCCTTTACAAAAAAAAGACAATTCTGTTTGGTAGTCATTTCTTCAGTTAGTTGATTTTTAGGTAGGCAAACTTCTTTGTGAAAATGTAAAGCCTGGAAACAAGAAGCTAAAACTCAAGAAGACTAAACTCCAGGATCTAATTCATGCTCTTTCAGTGAACTTTGAGTATTAATTAGCAGCATGCAGTTTATTCATTACCAATTTTGTACAGATATTATCAACAGCTAAACGGATGCATGTGGTTTAAAGTAAACATTAGGCAGCAAAAAGTTTTATGATGTATGTTATGGCTGGCCACTCAAACAAAACTAAAACTCACTGATAACTGTAATCTAGAAAAAAACTTTAATATTGAGGAAGTCACAAGTAAAATGTCTGAGGGGTTCATTGAGGGGTTCATATTTTCAATCTTGATTTTAACGTAAGTGAACTGTAAATACATTTACTTTTATAAAAGAAAATGCATTATTAAAGAATCATAACAGAATCTGTGACCTACTTCGAGGTTCCTGTCTTTCAATTCCAAAATGTATTATCTATAACTGCTAAATACTGTTTCAACTTCATTATCAGTACTATTTTATAGACTTAATTCAATGTTTGCTGAAATGCGTTAAGTATTTAATCTTACTTTGAAATTCAATTCCCATAGCATATGATGTAATGATTCTTTTCCCCTTGATTTCCATTTATCAGTAAATACAAACTACCAAAACAAAATCATACTATCTGAAGCTTGCTAAAAATCATTCTTGCTTGCACTTTCACTTTTAATATATTTTAATTACATTTGTTCAATTAAAAATACTTTAAAAGGCCATGACTTCCTGTAAATGAGCAAACATACAATGATTGCATCATGGGTATGCAGTTTTTAGCAGATACTACCAAACTGCCTTCTAAAATAGCTGAATTAATTATACCTCCACCAGTAATGGAAGAGTTTCTATTTCCCACACGCTCTGCATCACTTAATTTAACATCTGCAAATCCAATAGGGGAAAAATGATCTTGTTTTAATGGAATACTTTCAACACTGTACCCTGTAGGAATTACCTCTTTTTTAAAGAGCATACATATGCTGATACTGTCCCAGCATTATCCTTCTCTGTCATATCTCTTTTCTTTTCTAATTAAACAATAAAACTGCCCCAAAAAAGAGCAGCTTAAAAAAATGTCCCCTCATCCCCACCTTCCAACCCTTCCCAGGGATCTTTCACTGAGACAGAATATACACTCTGGGTTTTACAGAAATGAAGTATGGCATTCTTGAAAAGAGTGTGATAAAAATGTTCATGTTGGGCAAGTACTGGCATAAAATAAAGGTTAATCAAGAATCCTGAATGCTACACAGTATGGCTTGTGACTCTGACATAGTGCTCATCCCAGTCCATATTGGTTTTCTGGAAGGAGTGATATTTTGAAATTAAAATTTAATAATTAATCTCAAAACAGTATGCAAAATAGATTGAAATGAGGCAAAAGAATGGATACAGGGGTACAAATTTTAAATCTGAAGTAAATATGAGAGCACAGCTTGGATAAATGATGAAATATTATTTCCACAGAGATGAGACTGAAAGCTGAGAGAAGGATATGCTGTCAAGAAGGCAGACAATTGGGAAAGAAGCAAAGGCCTCTCAGCCTCAGGCTTTCCCCAGAGCAAACCCAAAAAGAGCCAGGCAACAAGAAAGAACAATTCAAAAAATGAAGAGCGCCACACAAGTGGTTTCCAAAACAATGTAATGATGGTAAGAAAATTAAGTAAGAGCACTGCAGAGCAAACTGAGCAAAGATCATCGCATTTTCCTGTAAGATACTTAGGACAGTAGTAAAATCTTAACCTAAACTAGAACTGAAGTTGGTTGAAGGAGATGGCATAGCCTAGGATCACAGAGTTTGATCCTAGTTCAAAGACTCTGACTATGGAAAAAAGATGAGAAAATAACTTGCTTATACCCCACCTCCTTCCAGAATATAATATGAAGGTTAATAAAATACAGAGTTGGGTCAAGGAAATGAAGAAAAGCAAATATTCCAGCCATGTGAACTAATAAAATTGCTATGGTTAAGTATTAAATTCACTCCAAGCTTACTGGAAGCACGGCAAAAAGGTAAACAGAGCAAATCACCTCGTTTCACGTAAGTACAACAATCTCTCAAGAGAAATCTTTTCTAGAAACCAAAGAAACAAAAAGAAATTTGTGATTTGGGGCTAAAATTCAAAGGCCAATGTCCTGTAAGGTTTTACAATAAATAAAGCAATTTGATTTTTTTTAATGAGGAGTTATGTAGTATTTAACACATGCCAAATATTGTTCTAATAAGCCTTTTACAAAATGTTAACTCAATTCATTTTCACGTGGCTATTTCTTTTAATAATCCTCTGTAAAACGTGGCAGAGTCCAGGGTGAGTGCTGGCATTCCAGGTGGCTTGCTGACTGAGGGATGACCTATGCTTTAGAAGCTGAGTTTTAGAAAGGGCAACAGAAACAGCCTGAACCTCACCTCCAGAATAAGAGAAACGTTTATCACATAAAGACAAAATGGAGTCAAAAGAGGAAAACTACATTTGGAAACCAGATCATTCAGGAAATAGAATCTTTAACCAGATTAAAAAATGTTTTCACAATCTTGAGGTCAGTGCTCTTTACTTTATATGTAAATTGGAGATAGCTGGGGTTCACTCTTGAAATCCTTGATTGAAAGCTCTCAGGTTTATCATATACTTGACCTGTGAAGCTATTACTCCAAACTTTCGTGGCAAAAAATAGACAACAATGAACTAAAGTAAACAAGGTTATCTTATTGGCCATTCAAGCTCTCAGGGCATCTGAGCAAATATTCTTGAAGGACTGCCTCCCCAAAGAATTGGTTTTCTCTGGGGGCTGGGAGGGACAGGTTGGGACATTTTCAATGTACAGTTATCAATAAGTATTAGACAAAATAGTGTTTCAAAGTTACATTAAGAAATAATTTTTTATTTAGAAGGCAACAGAACTAAAAGCTTCTGCAAAACATGTAAATTAGGAAAGGAGCTCAATTTTCTGACATGGGGGAAAAAAAGAGTGACATTAAAGTCACTGAAGAGACAGACTGGAAGACGTCAGTTCCCATTCTATAGCCTTTAAGGATAACTTTTAAATGCTAGTAATTGCATTTTTCAATTCTGTAACTCTGGGCACTGTATTTAAACTAGTTACATGCCTGGTGATTCACATGATGTTAAGGTAAGTGAGTACCAAATAAGATTGAGCATACAGCTTCTAGTCGTCAAAAAAAATTGAGAAGCTAATAATTTGACAAAAGTCTAGATTTTTAGAACTTGAACAGATATGAGTCATCCAACTGAAGATGTTAAGTGACTTGCTCATAGTCATAAGGCTACTTTGTGGCACAAAATCATTATCACAGAATACCACAAATTTTGCCCATCACCAAATAATTTTCTAAAATGTCGTTTTTCAGTCTGGGAAAACAACTTTAGCTTGGAATGTTTCAAGACGGTGCCAATTTCAATTACAGGAAACATTAAGCCAGGCCTGAGATTTAAAGTACAAGAATCACAATTTCAGTTTTGCTTAAAATACTCTAGGGCTGGAGACAGTGATACATATTAAGTAAAAGGAGGCAAAACAGGTCATATGATGTCAGCACAAAGTCAGAAAAATTACAGGGTATAAAGAAAGCAGACAGATAAATTTTTACCTACAGTGGGAAAACCGTTTGTGTCCATTTATATTAACTCAAAACAAAATATCCAGGAAATTGGCTCAGAAACTGTGTAAGGAAAATCAATTTTAAGACTAAACTGCTGTGCGGAATAGATGAGTTAACATTCTATCACAATTCGTTTAAGTCACAGAAACTCTTTAACTCGGTTTTTTCAGAGTTAAGTGTTTTATCAATGTCACATTTCATCTAGGATATTCTAATTTTTATTTTCAAACATTCGCCATCTCATGGAAAAGATCATACAGGCCAAAGCTGGTCCCCATTGCAAACAGGTGGTCTGTACTGCGTGCCCCATCTTCTCGGCCACATGACCTTTTTCCTCCTAATCTCGTTTCGGAAGCATTATTTCCGGTGCCCCAGATGGCTCTACACATGCCTGAAGAAGCTACTCTAGAAATATTAAGAATACTCTGCTACATTGGCTTCCAAAGAAATGGTGGCAGAGTTCGAAGGAGAGCAGGAAAAAAAGGAAACTTGAGCCTGGAAAAGCTACGAGTCAGGACGGCACAGGACGCAGGCCTCCTAAATGTCACTCGGCGGAGATGTTCGTGCGGTATCACCCACGAAGGGCTGGGCGGGCGGCCAGGCGCTGCAGCCTGGAGCGGGGCGCGGAGCACGCGGCGGGCACCAGGCAGCCACAGATCGGGTGAGCGGGGGTGACGTGGTGGACCAGACGGGCCCCTCCAGCCCCTTGGCGGCTCCACCCCGCGGCGAGGAAGGGAAGTGAGGACCTAGCGGAGGGGCGCAGGCGGGGAAGGCGCGGGCGGGGCCGGGCCTAATCACATGGCGCAGACGGCGCAGGCCGCCCCGGCATCTCTTTCTTTCTCTTTCTCGAACCTCCGCTCCCATCCCGCCCTATCGCAGGCCCCTCCCGGGCTCGGACCCCGACCCCATGCGGGACCAGGCCTCCTCCGCCTCGCGGAGACACTCACTTTTCGCCCGAAACCACCAGCTCCTTGCCCTCGCTGTTGCCGAACGTGTCCGTCTCCCCTGGGCTGTCCTTGGGGCCGGGCGCCGGCGGGGCCGCAGGAGGTGACGCCCCAGGCTGCGGTGGCTGCTGCTGCTGCTGCTGCGTGCCCCCCTTGCCC